GTTCAAACTTTTGATGTTTGTTCATATATTTTTGAGTGGCTTTGAACTTTGACAGTATTTTGTAGTCTGGATAGTTACATAGCATTCGTTGCGATGTATGCCTTTGAGGGTCTTGTACTATCCACATTTCTTAATTGAAAGTGTTTTCTTCATATGCATTTTGTTTTTTCCTGAGACTTGTCTATATGCTTTCCGCCTAGTTGCAAATCTGTGCGTATTGATAAACTCTTGAAACCTCTGGCGTATAAGTAAAACTCACTTTTGATATAGTAATTTATGTCTCAGTTCAACTCAATCAGTTCAATTTGATTTGAAGTAATTGTCAATTCCTTCTTGAGATTTTTCATATATGCTTTCAGCCTTTGTGCACATTTGTGCGTATTGCTAAGTCTTGAGCTTGGTTGCGACATTGCTTTCATGTTTCGCTATAGATTTGAAATATCTGGTGATTTGCTTTTGCATTATTGCATTTGTTTTGATAGTCCTGCTCTTATAGTTTTTTTTCCGATTTCTTATTTCTTTCAATTTCTGTCTTGACTTGAAGTAATCGCCATTCTTATAGATTCAGTATAGTATTTTCTTCTCATACTTTACATTGGTAAATTATTATAGTTTTTCTAATCTTGTAATATTTCATATTTGAACTTAACTTTATTTTACAATGATATGGTTATTCTCAGTGTAGACTAGTGCGCTGATGATATCAGTGATCTACATGAGAATATTCCATAGACTATAGACATTCTTGTCTAGGGCTTTGGAGTGCAACCTATGGTGACCCTATAAAGTTGTCTTTCTCTCATATTTTTGCTTAAATCAAAATTCGAATTCTTACCTATCATATTTATTTCTATTTCTTGTTCACTAGATTTTTTGTTATACTCCAATTTTGCAACTACATATATCGTAGACTTTTGCATACAATTTTTGCTTGCGGCATTACTCTCATGTATCATGATTTATTAAAATATCTTGTGATTTTCGTTTCGCTATTTTGCATTTTACATATGCTCACTTCATTTCTCAATTATTACTCATGAAAATTTTAATATTTTGCTTACTTTGTATTTTTTGAGAATTCTTTATAAATCATGCTCATATGGCTTTGATATTTCCTTTCACTTTATGATTTTAATACTATTAGATTTACAGTTGTACTTGTGTTGCACTTACTTTTTTTTGGAAATATATTTTGCTCTTTTCTATATTGAACTTCAGAATTTTTTTTTTGGTCTGGTTCTTATATTGTCACATGACCCGAAAATTTTGGTTGAACTTACTCTTGAATTTTAGTTCATTGATTGAACTTAAGCTATATTTTGACTTTGAAAATCTTACTTCAATATTCATGAATGTCTCTGATATACTTTAATTCTCTGAAACATTTTGAATTATTTTGTAGTCTTACAGACTGCTGGCGCCCGACAATTTTTTTGTGGAATCAGAACTGCACTTAGTTAACATCTTTTTTGATTAAAATACCTTCTTGATCAAGTTTTCATTGGCTTAGTACTTGTAAATTGTTTTGTTATATGACTTGAATTCCTATTAGAATTTGTTAATTTCTTTGATTTTCATATTTTGAAAATAGTAATGCACAGTTTTTTATATTGGATATTGGTTTAAAATATCACTGTAGATGATATTCTTTTTGGGTTTGGAGCATTGCGAGATAATCTGGCAATTATCTTGAGAAAGTTTATTCTGTTTTTTTAGTACCTCTTATGGTTTAGGTACTTACTTAGTTTTTGCAGTGTTTAGTAGTCAGTCGTGGCATTTTGGAAGCCATTGTGATTCCTCACTTCGTGCTTGGACTACTGCTGAAGCTTATGGTTTATTATTTTTCTCGTCCTAGGTGTGACGATGTTTCATGTTTTGGGTTGATCATCATATGATGATATTTTTTTAAGTGCAACTTCACTGTACTTTTCAGCGAGTTGGTGCTATAACCATCCCTCTTGTTTGGTAGACTTGAGGCTATCCCTTTTTCTTCCAATTCTCTTCTAACATTTCTGTTTCTACCTTACTTTGCTACTTGTTATCTGGTCGAATGGTTGTACATTTGTCCTTCCGTGATAAGTTTCAATTTCCTTGTTAAAAAAAAATACTTGAATGCTTCTTCGAATTTTTTTCTGGTTAAGTAGGGGGCGAGTGTAACGGTTTCACCGTCCGATCGTATTTATTAAATCACTTCTCGATTATCATTTCATTAATCCCATCTCTAGCTTTTTTACTTGGAAACATTCCCACTTGGAGCGCGCTTGATGCGGAGTTCCTGATCTGCGATCTTCCTCGCGCTTCTTTATGACTTGAGCCGCCGATCTAGCAAGAGCTAAGAATTTTGTTCTCTGTAGCATGAGGTCATATAGCACCATGTGCTAGAATTTTGTAGAATGTGTGTCCGAATAAGACAAAATGGTGAGTTTTATAATACTATACAGTTTTATTGCTGGGTCTGCCTGTAGTTTATAGATAGTCGATATGTAAGTGGTTTATTTCTTGTACGATTTTTAAAATATCCATCGAACGTCATTTTCGACTACTTCGATCATTCGCCATAACTTTAATCAAATCGAGGTAGAATCGATCCACATCGATTTTACTCTGTTTGCGTATATGTATTCATCATAGTTTCAGTGAAATTATGAGTACGTTGATTATGAATATTCGATATTTGTGTTTTTATATCAGAAGCATGTGGAGAAATTTTGATGACCACCATCTTGTTTTACGCTTTTTTTTGCTATTTCATGATTTTATTTTATGAAAGGTATTTCCAATTTTCGGTTGATTCTATCAAACTATGTAATGTAATTCTAACCTAGAAAATCGTTGGTTCTCTTTTGAGGCAGACTGAGATTGGAAATGCCTTGGCCATTAGGGCACGTTTGCTAATGCACACGGTTCTTTTCCAGATTGGGGCCACCCCTTCCTTTCCCTTTGCCTTTGTCTTTGACTTTTGCCTTTGCAACTCATGTAGTCTTTGGCTTTGCAGTGCTTGGCCTATCACTTCACCCATGCATGTGCCTTGGCAGCGCCATCACCTTTAAGTTCAACTTCGCCTACAACTGGTTTTGAAGCCACTAAATGTGTGGTCCACCCCTCATAACTGGGGGCCTCACTTCAAGCACCTGGCCATCCTCGCTTCAGTCCAGTCAAAATGGACCAGCGAAAGATAAGTGTATAGTTTTATAGCAGCGCCAAAGATTTAAAAACTTATTTTGTTCTTTAAAATTGTAATGTAATGAAAATGCTTTTTTGTTAAATAAATCTGTTAAATTTTTGTGTTCTGTTTGTTCTTCTATCCTCTAGCCATGCCATGGTCGACACACAGCTACACGCCTGTAGATGTCTTCATGCCACCGACTGAGCTACCGGAAACTAATGGTACCCCTTTCTGTGATTGTGCAGAAAAGTTGGAATCTTCATTGCATTCCATCTTTTCTGGACTTTTTGCGGAAAGGAAGGCTTACAGTTGTTGGATGGGAAAAAATGAGATAAAATCAAAGTAGGATGCTGGTTATGGGGACACTTTGCCATCTATGACCACAGTTAGATATTGGTTCAACGAATTTGAACATGGGCGAACATCCGTTTTGATGAGGAGCGACCAGGACGCACGGCATACGTGCTTACCGAGGAAATCACTCAAAATGTCCTCGACATGATCTAATCGACGAACGAAAAGGTCCGAAGTAGCAGATGCCGCAGGTGTGTCGACTGGAACGGCAATAAATATAAGTTGGAGATGAAAAAATTGTCAGCCGCGTTTGCTCACGGTGGACAACAACGGATGCGGGTGTTACCTTCGAAGCAGTGTTTGGAGCAATTTAAGCGAAAACCGAAGGAGTTTTTGCGTCGAGTTGTCACCGTTCATGAACCTGGATTCGTCATTACACACCAGAAGCTAAGCAACAATCAAAACAATGGATTTCTCCCGGTGAATCTGCTCCAAAGAACGGCGAAGACGGTCCCAACGGCCGGAAAGGTCATGGCAAGGATTTTTTGGGATGCAAACGGCGTCATCCTCATGTATTTTTTTTGTATAAGGAAGAACGATCACTGGACAATACTACAGTAATTATTGGATCGCTTCGACGAAAACGGCCGCATTTAGCGAAAAATAAGGTGCTGATTCTCTACGATAACACAACAGGTCCATTCATCCGAGTTGTCGTCGCCAAAATGCATGAATTGCGTTATGAAGAGCTGTTGCAATCCCCGTATTCACCCCATCTGGCCCCCTGCGGCTTTTTCTTGTTCCCTAACGCGTAGAAATGCTCGCGTTCGACAAATCCTATTTTTGGAGGAGTTGAATAATGGCAGGGACATTTCGAAAAGTGTATCTTTCTAAAAGGGGACTATAAAAATAAAATAAAAAATACTAGAAAAAATTGTGTTCATTTATAACACGGGTACTTATTGAACCGCCCTCATAAATATATTTGTACTAACATCAAAAAAGTGATATATACCCTCCCCCACCCTGTCTACAACCCCCCCCCCACCTATTTTTTTTTCAATTCAGATTTCAGGTTATTTCCAATATTAGTTGAAACGAGGAATTTTTTCGGTGAACAACAAAATCTTGCCGGAGAAAGATGGCGCCTTGCTTGAGCTCCACGTGTTTTGAAAATGGAAGAGAGCCCCCTTCATCATCATCAAATAGTGAAAGGCTGAGGATGGCAGACAGCTCTTGGCTCTTTTTCTCAAGTTTATAGTAGAATTATATCAGAAATATGCTATTCCAGCATTTAAGAGGTTTTTCGGTAGATTTGATTTCGCATTAAAATCGGTAGACTAGGACTGGTAACACTGACACCAGACACCGTGAAAAGTATACATCTGACGTCTTACACCTAGGAATTTAATCGCGGCCTAATCGTGAACACTGCTTTTCTCGCTCCAACCAACCATATACGGCAGTGTTTTATCATTATAGCGACTCATCAGCAGGATACAGATGGAACAACGAACAAAATCTAATCTAGTACTAAACCAACATCCGGTCTGGGCATTTCGACCATGCAATCCTCGCTTAGTTGACCGAAGAAAAATGTGAAGGACTCGAACGCATCTTCATGCCAGCCTTTTTCAAACATTGGGTTCAAGCGGCTGAGTTTATCCCTTATAAATTGGGGATTGTAGACTTTTGGATCATCTTCTCAACCCTCCCACAGCTTATCAAACACCTGTAGAAAGCACAATAGACCTAAGTTTCTGATACTTGAATACGGCATAGTGCAAATTTATGAAAGTACTACAAGCCTCTTTCACAACGACGAGAAGTCAGCTATCTCTTATCGAAATGACAGAGAACTTTTTAAGGTTCTATCGATTTTAATTAGTTCAAAATTCTGTTGAACCGCTTGCTATAACAATTGCAGCACTTTGGTATTTAGGTTTTGCCTAGGAAAATCTTACCTCGCCCATCAATATTGAATACCGGAGGTACTCTTCGATTCAGGGTTAAGTACCTGTTGTATTCACAAAGTACTCTTTTATGAACGGCAAGGTTTTCATACATTGTAAGATCGCGCTCTTAAAACAGCAATTCTTGTAATTTCGGATTCCCGTGAAGCCTCGCCCCTTCACCTAAAATAAAATGAAAAAATGGAGATTATTGTATCGATAATACTCATATCAACGCATTTTCGAAGAAAATGCAAAACCCTATGCTGTAGTTTGACGTTAGCATACATCGTCACAGCCATGTAGGTCTTAGTCATTAGAAGTAGATTCATGACAATTCTGATTCTCAGAACGACGAAAATAGAAATTTCCTAAGTGACTACGCTGATGTATACTGCCGTAGGTAGAAGAAAGTTAATTGTAAAAATCTGAGTCTGAGTAAATTGAGTTCATAATTCTGGATTTTTTGTCGAACTAAGTAAATAATATTATGACGACAGAACAAAAGTGAATGAATATTGCAGGTACATGAGAGAGGCATTTAAATGTGATTTCGGATTATAACTGTTGTTGAGGCCTAAAATAAATGAAATTCCTTATTTTACTGTTGTAAATCAAAAAGCAGTGATTTGTGATTTACTGCAATTATACTCTGCAAAAACAAAATTTACTGCCTTTTTTCGTAGTTTCCATAATCTATTTTTATTATTCTCTCAAAGGAAATCCGCAGTAATACAGAATCCTATTTTATTTTCTTATAATTTATTCATATTGAATTTCATATAAATAGCACCACCTTTTCAACATCAAATAATTCAATTAAAAAATTATGATTACCCATCGAACATTATGAAGCCAAAATAACGTCATTATTCGGTCACTTTTGGTCGGAAACGTCATTGACCCAAAAATGGCGGCTTTATTGAGACCATTTTTTTATGGCAACAAGACGTCCTTTAAAAGTCATTTTGACGTCTTTTTTATGACAGGCAATACTGAAAAATCAACACTTACCTATGAAGAATATATAGGCTTTTAGTGTAAGGTAAACTAGATATCCAAATACAATAACAACTTTATTGTTATTTATAAAAAGTATCAGGAATTCTTCGACCAAAAATATCTTATTAATGTGACTTTTCCAATAATAATATTCCATGTTCAGATATTTCAAATTGACATCTTACATCATATTTTATTCCCGTAAATAGCAAATTTATTAGAAACTTCTCTGTATAATAATAAACAAGTTTTACTAAAATGTTTGCAATCAAGCACGGTCACATAGACGTCATATCGACCTCAGATAGACGTCATATCCACGACATATAGACGTCATATCGACCTTGTATTTGATCTTTTAAACGACATATAATGACGTCAATTGGGTGTGACATTAGACCGTCATAATGAAGTCATCTCTACGTCATTTTTGTTGGGCGGCGTACGTCAATAGCGCCCTAAGAATGCCAGCATTAGAACATCACTATGTTCACTCTGTAGATTTAATAATTTACATTCATTGAAAATAATTGTATAAATAAACTAGCATCTAGCTGCATCATTTCTGATATGTTAAATTAAAGGAAGAATATTTTGCAAAACTATTCTTTCGGAGCGAAAGTAAGATAAATACTTATTCACAATAATAGAATTATTGCATAAGAAACTAAATAAGTAAACATCATAATAGGTTGTAAAGGGTAAAAAGTATAAGTAAGTACCTGTATCATATAGAAAATCAAAAAAGTATAGTTTGAAAACTACTGCTTTTTTGTTTGATAAATTGATTTACTGCTGTTATGCTTAGGGAATGTAATTATTTTTTGCTTTGATAAATTGAATTACTGCTGTTTTGCTTAGGAAATGTAATTATGAAATATTTGGTAAAGAGAGAAAATAACTATTCCATTGTCATGATATATTTTTTATTCTAATCAATTTAAAAAAGGCAGTAAATGAACTTTACTATCTTTTACCTAAGTATGGCAGTATAGTTGTAAGTTGTAAGGATAAATTGTTTAGCGCCGCTTTCATCTGAATTGGGCATCTTCTTGTGTAATATGTTCATCAATGTAAGTTCATATATAAAAACTTACGTCTTTTTCTGGTTCTTTGACTTTAGCAGGTTTAAAACTCCTGTCAAAGGAAGGAGGTGGAGAGACATAGGTTGGCACAGCATTGTCCATCGGCTCTGGAGAATTATCTCTCCGTCTATCAGGTGACCTTGAGTAGTCTTGGTTACCCTCATTCCATTGCTCTGGAAGATAAGTTGGTTTTGATGCGCGGGCTTTTAGCAACAGCAATTCTCTGTCACCTTCCATGAGCTTTCGGATTGCCTTCAGACATAGAAAAAACAAAATAAAGGATATTTTTCTAGAGATGAGCAAACTGTTCCGCCCTTGACCCATCTGCAGATACATTCGATGAACATTATTGAAAGTAAAGCATCCGTTATACTTCGCGATGACGGATACCATACAGGACTGCCAGAGAATCAAAGCACATAACGTTAAACCATATTCAGATTATTTTATGCGGCAATCGCGCTCTGATATTGTATAAGAGTTGAAATTGTTGTTCAGCACTGGCTAATTTCGCGCGGTTAAGACGTAATCAGATACCCAAAAGAAGGTTTTAATTAACTCCAAATAAAGGTAAGGCAAAACTTTGCGCCTAAACATCGAAATGTTTCGTTCTTTCGAGAGAAATAGAAGAAGTCTTTAGAAATGGCCATCCTTTGAACAAAATGCAACGATGAAAATATGCTCGGTGACATTAGAAGTGTGACACCCAGAAAAAAAGATTTCTTCAACTTGATGTTTGGCAATGAGGTAGTCTTACATCAAGAACGAAACAA